AGGGGCGGTGCGGCCGGGTGGAAGCCAGCTGCTGGGCTGCTGCAGAAAGTCAGCAATATCCATGAGCCTCCTAAAAGCATCGTCTAGCACTGAGTTATTTCTAGGCCACGGCAGTTACTGGGAAGGCATTACGGGGCTGTGAGGTACAGCATGTCTCTCAGCTGGAGGTGCACTCGTCAGCTTGGGAGCAGCACACACCAACTGTCCTTCGGGGACTCGCTGGTTTTTGACTTCACTCCACTTCAAAGCCCGGGCTCCTTGTGTGTGTTTTAGCAACGTTCACACACTTCAGGTTTCTAGGCCAAGCGAGAGCTTTGATTCCGTGCTGCACTCAGCAGCTCTGCGTGAAGGTAGCCTGCGGTTAAGTAAGGTGAGAGGCTGAAAGTGGTTCCATTTTGCAACAATAGCTGAGAACAAGGTACAGATTTTACCATTTAAAACAGGGACAAAACAGAGCTGGAAGGTTTTTGTGAGGTTATTTTTTTTTAGTTTTGCTTTTGACACCTAGTAGCCTTTTTTGAGTTGAATTAAATATACAGTGTCTGTGACCTTTGCCTCACGCTGGAGCATTCCTGTTCTCATCCGAATGGCAAAGCCAGGACGGGGCAGCAGCACGTGGGGAGGGAAGGAAGCAAAAGAAGGGGAAGAGAGGGACCTCAGCTCAGGCTTGCTCTCCTGGCCAGGGCTCATCCTGCTCTCTGCTGCCAGCTCCTCTCAGCACTACGATTTTTTTCTTCTTTTTTTGTCCTACACCTAGCACATCCAGCTCACGTCTGGGCCTGGGGTACATAGGAGTGACACCAAGACAAGCAATTAATCCTAATTGAGCTGTCCTGGTGGCTTTTGTTCTCCTTCCACCCTGGGCTGACGTGCAGAGCATCTCTTCACCTTGCCAAAGAGTATTTTTATGTTAAATGGCTAAAAGTCATCATCATCGTAATGGTTCTTATGGCAACCCAGCAAACTGAGCGCTTAAAAGCTCCTCTTGCTTAATACATCTCTCATACGTGGCCCGTTACGCTTACCTTACTCCTGGGAACACCGGCAAGCCCTGAGGCTGAGCCAGCTCCTCTCTGAGCTGCCTCCCCAAACGGGAGAGGAGGGGTCACCCGTGCCCGCGGAAGGCACCCGAGTAGCAAAGCAAGCGCAATCACTGCCACCTCAGTCACCCACCGCTACATTCCTTATGGACACCATTCAGTCCGTAACAGCCTCGGAATCATTTCCCTCCTTACAGTCTGAATTTTAACTCACCCCACAACCTCCTCCTGAAAACCCGCCGAGCTGAAGCCGCTGCAGGTCACCTTGTGCAATTTGCTGTTGCAAGACAATGAAAACAAGTTCTTCTTTTTCACAATTACCAAACCACTTAATCGAGCAATTTTCCTGCCCCACGCTTGGGTTTCAGTTAACAGTGTTCCTCGGGGAGGGAAAATCTAACTGCACCTCCAAGTGACTTACTGCTGGTTCTGCCATTACAGACAACTGTGAAAAGTTGCTTAAGTGCTGTAACTGCCAGCAGCAGCTTTTCCGTGCCTTGCACTAGAGCCGAACCCAGAGGAGGCGCGCTGGGATTGCAGGCAGATGCTGGCCGGAGGGGCCCACACAGCCTCACCTCGGGCGCCAGCTCTCCAGCTTTCGGCTGTCTCTCCCCAGGGTCGAACCCCATCTGCCTGTCCTAGTGTGGCTTTCACCGGGGGCTCTGCCCTCGCATGTGAAAGCCTTGGTCCTGATGAGACGGCTCCCGCCGGGGGTCCCAGCACAGCCCCAGGTGCTTAGCAGGGACTCGGCACCAGCCCAGGAGGGGGAATGGCACCCCTGCTTCAGGGTGGAGGGCAGAGGGGGGTCTGTCCCCGCAGCACACAGCCATTACGGGGGAACCACAAGCCTCCATATGAAGCAACTCCCTGCGGTGGCTACTCACGGCCCAGGGCATCCCCGTCACCCCATGCATGGTGCAGCAGGAGGAGCACAGCTCCCCACACTGGAGCAGGCACTGATGCCAGTGGTGAAGCTTGGCTGCACCGAACCAGGGGACACTGGTTTCCTCTCCATCACCCTACGGCAGGAGCTGGCAACGGGGCTGTTCAGGCCGGCGGGTGCTCCTGGGCAGGCTGCCACTGTGCCGGGAGCAGGCAGGCCAGCCCACCGCCACCAGCTTTTAGGACCAAGCCGTGCCGGGGTGTGGGGTCTGTGTCTCCACTGCCGCCTTTCCCACGCTTCAGCACTGCCCCACTGGTGCTTCCCCAGGGATGGGGGGCAGCACCGGGGCCAGGCATGGGGACCAAGGGCCAGAACCCCCCATATCAGCTCTTTTGCAGTGCGAGGGCAGCACCCCCATTTCGCGGAGGACAGGACCCTGAGTCTTGGCTCGCTGCAGCTCAGCTGCCAGCTCCTTGAAGCCCCAGCAGCCCCAAGGAGCCCACAGGGGTGCCCAGGCTCCTGGCTGGCCGCAGCTCTGCTCCGACCCCTCCAAACTTCCTGCATTTGTTTCGCTCGAGCTATTTGGGGGAAGTAGGGTGTTGTTATGTCTTCAGCTCAGCGGCTATTTAGAGAAGGATAATGCCATTGTGGGGAAGACAATGAGAATACTAAATGTCTAAAATTCTCTGTCTCTCACTATTTTGACTAATTTCTTCTTTTTTTCCCCCCAAATGG